TCATAGAAGTACGGAATCTTTTTTGTTGATGATTGGAAATGACATAAGAAAGTCCTTTCAAGATGATGGAAGGAATAGGAAGAAACGTTCATCTTATAGACACAACAGCATCAATGAAATTCTTCTTGTGATTTGTAATCATCAGTAACGTCGATGCAAACAGATACTAATACTTAAAAAAAGCACTACAGAATATTCTTCTTTGCTCAATTCTGCACAATCTTGGTTGTTCCAAATATTCTCTTTAAATAATTACAATCGAACTCAACTCATTGGCCTGTGTTTTCAATAAAAACGATGGTTGACGAGTACAGATGTGAGCTGAAAGAAGAGAATCATACATACACACCCATACCTACCAACCCGAGTAAAGCATATGCTAAGAATCTTTTTCGATGTATAGAAATGAAATTAAATGGAATTCTATGAAGCATTGTATACCCAGCTTCATATAGTGTTCTTGTTTTTTGAATCTTTTACTAATGGATAAGCCTGAACCAAGTTTAGTAGTGATGTATACACCTATATATTTAAACAATATGATGTATTCAATTTTTCGATGTTCATACTGAGACTCAGGAAAACTGGAAAAACGATGCTATGAAGAAGTAAAATTTTAATTTTATTCATGTTTACTGATAGTGAAGTATTATTGAAAAATTTTTTAAACTGTTTCATAAGAACGCTAGGTCGATTTTTAATTTAATCAATATTCTCAGAGATGCGTTTTTCGAGTGATTCTCCTAGTACTATCACCAGATCGTCAGCAAACATATGAATTGTGAGACTAAAAAGACAAAGAATGGGAGAAAATGACCATGAATATATCCATTTTAGTAAGGAGGGCGATATGCCAAGTCACTTAAGTTAGTAATTAGTACAGGAGAAACTACAAAATCAAATGCTAATAAAAGTCCACAAAAACTGTTAATACTAGTTCGTTACAAGTAGCAATCGTAAGATGTAAATTCTCAACTAAGGAAAGTATTCTAGTTTGCAGCCGCCTTTCTTGCTTAAACCTGCTCTGCTATTCGACTTCTTTGTTGTTGCTATGATGCCAGTCAAGTATTCTACGGTGTATGATATGCTCAAAATATTTACTTATGGTAGGTAGTATTGGCAGCATTTAAGTCTCCGTTTGTTGTGCATCTATTAAAAAGCAAGCTTATAATAATTGATTATTCTACATGCAGTTCATTGAGAATAAAGCAATCTTACCAGCATTATTAGTCGACATTTTTTGGCAAATTAGTTCTCCATTCGTACGTCACCTCCTCAAATTTAATTTGGTCTAATAACATTTTTGAGAGTGCTCCTTATAATAATCTACTAATATATTAACGATTCTTTCTGCGCCTATTACTTTATTGTTTTGAGTACTTAGTCATTTGAAGAGAGATACGAACGGGTGAACTGCATATTTTACGTCTTTCGAAACACTATTTCCCTCTCAAAACCATGCAGTCTTTATGTTCCTTCGCGACTGTATGTATGTTGGGTCGTTGTAAATGAAAAATCTCCTTTGATAGTATGAATCTTTGTAAGTGACACGGTGAAAATGAATAGCTATTCATCGTACTATCTATATCCAAATTGCTCATAATTAGTTTTAATTTAATCATACTAAAGTGCATCGAACTAAAGGGACTTCATTCTGATATCGAATTCTAATCTTACAAAAAGTAAAACAGCTTTTTCAAACTTATTGTCCGTAACTGAAAACTACGAGTAAATGAAATGGTACTGAATGTCTCAATTTAGTTCTTTCAAAATCTATAACTTATATTATTCCATTTTGCAAAATGTTCTACTCATCAGCAACAGTTGCAATATAAATTATATATTTTTCGAATGAAAATGTGTTATATCGAATCAGTTGAATAGTCACAATCAATGAATTAAACTTCTGGTAAGTACAAGAAAAAGAAATGAGCTACATAGCTTTCATTGGCCATTCCTCGTTTTGATGCCATGACATTAATCATTGATTTTTTTCAATACTATTTTTCATGAAAATTTTGAAGTGTATTCCGACAAAAAATGATTTTTCTATTGTTAGCCTCAAAATTTACCCGAAAATATCCAAAATATGTCACATAAACCTCATTGAACATTGTTTCACTCCCAAGTATGTGCGTGAGCAAACGGATAAGCTGAAGAAGGACACGTACCGGTGCTCAATTCCACACGAATCTACCAACATCAAAGACTCACCTGCGCCTTACCACCCCATATTTGAATTATAATTAAGTAGACTTTATTATATCGTGCAAAAGTTTCGGTAATATTATCTGTTCCATTTTAGCTTCTTTTTGTTACGCCTCGGTGCTTTATCATCCACTAAAATATCTTGATAAATAATACATCAAGTCGTGTTTTAGATTTCTATTGTGCATAGTTATTTTAATAACGATGACATCGAAGTATGAAAGTTTAAAACACGATGACATCTAGTAACAACAATTATTGTTCATAGACAGATGCATTTTTTCGTTTTGTATAAATGATATTTCGTAATTTATGTCCATTCATTGTACTGAAACAATTCTTGTTTACAGGTTTGCTCCTTACTGAAAAATCAAATTCTTCTTAAAAACATTACACCACTTCAACATAGTCATCTAAATTTCTTTCTTAGTATTAAATATGTACAGATAATTAAAATCTGATTTAAAAAAAAGCATTACTTATCTTATATGATCAATACCGCATAAAAAATATACGAAAATAATAACAAAAATCAACATGAAGACCTCGACTATAAAAATTTTTGATTGATTTACATTTACACTTAAATCAGCAGCAATGTAATGTGGAGTTGGACTCTAAAACACAAATTTCATTATTTTAATCACATTACATCTTTCACAAATGGGAGAAATATAACTGGATGTGGGTGTGAGTAAGTAATAATAATATCTATTTCCATCCACATCCGCACCCTAACTGCATTATTGTAATGATCTTATTCATGAAATAGTCCATGATGAAAAAAAAATGATTATTGTCGAGTATACAGCAACAATAATAAATGAAATCGGGCGCGCTCAACCTTTTAAATGTAGAAATAAATAATATATTGTTGTTCTTGTCATCGATTATTAGTGAAAATAACTATAGTTGGCAAGAAATTTTTCAGTTTATAGATGATATGTTAGAATAACAAGGTTGAAGGATATACGTGAGTTCCACATTTCAGCTCCAAAGAAGCTGCGTTAACAAGCTTCTTTTCCTTTCTTTACACTTTACATTCACTTAAAGGAATGTTTATACAAAAACAAGATGGTAGGTGGATTTTTCCTTGATGATGTCATCTAATGAGTTAGGAATGATATAGTTTTTTTCGTTTTCATACTTTTAAGAATCATACAGAAATGCAGAGGACTTGATCTAATGAAATTTTTAATAGGAAAAATTGAGGAAATGTAAGAGCTAACTATAATTGGACAACAACCAATATTCAAAGAATACTCCATAAAATTTTTCAATTTAAAAAGAGAATATTTTCATTTTGTGGAAGGTTTTTAGTTTTTCATACATTTAAAATATTTGAACTTTTTCTATGCCGATCTTCTAGATCTGGAATTTATGGGTGTGGGTGTAGGTGTAGGTGTGGTGTGGTGTGGAGTAAGGGTGAATGTGGATATGGTTAGGAGCTTAAACAACATTTTCTATCACTCCTACACCCACATCCACACCCAATATATTTGTCTTAGTCAATGACATTGAAATGCATCAATTGTTATGTCCGTTTTATCATATGAAATACCACTGTTGTCATATTTTTCATACGAAATTCGCAAAAGTCATGGCTTTTTTTACTTTTAACTCGATGGCAAGGATATAATTTGTTTATTTATGTTTTGTTTTTCTTTGACAAACAAAGACGAAAACATGTATATGAATTTATGGATTTCTATTTTATGACATCTTACTCTTATTCATATTTTTTTACTTTACTTAAAATGCACGGTGAGCATTTCAAAGTGACAGATGAAATGGGTAGGTATGGGGTATAAGTGCAGCTGAAGAGGTGACCAATACATGCATACACACTCAAAATCAAAAGTCATACAATATCACTAATTTGTATAAACCGTTGATGTGGGTTCGTAATCACCTCTTTAGATATTGTGAGAAATACAAATTCAATATCTGCGCTGAAAAATGGTTAAAAAAAAACATTTTATGCACACGTATTGAGACTGTTGAGAAGACAAGTAAAATGATTCGGTTGGATAATGGATTTATTTCAAGCGATAGAATCAGTATAAAGAAAATAATTAAGCTGTATCATAAATACTCATTCTACCTTTGATAACAAGAAACTTAATAAGTCATTTATATATCACTTGTCTTGCTGCATTGATTCGCTCCTCACAAGTTCACAATGTGAGAACATCAATCATTGTTACTGTATGTCACTGAAACGTGTTTATTGATGTCTTTATTGGGGGGAAACATGTTTTTTTTTCGTCTCTATATGGAGAACGAACATTGAATGGTATATACTGCAAAGCTCTTAGAAAATCATGAGATTGGTGACTTGATGCTAGAACAACTGTCTCTCAATACACATAGAGCTCAATGGAACAAAAAGAATTTCACGAATTCGTTGCATCCGTAGATCTAAACGATTTGTTCCTCATCTTGGTAATATATTTGGCTTAGCGACTTGATGGATGTCATCATATGAAATGGAAGACTATATTGAAGCTGGATATACATGACTTTGAATGTTTCGCATTGTTCCTAGAGTCTTTCTAGTGTGGTATTAATGTAATCTCTTCGTCTTTTTCTTTTCGTTTTTTTGCTCTCTTTACTGCTGATTTTTGTTCTTCTCCCTTCTTGTATCTTACGTCAGGCTTCTTTCTTTTCTTTTTCTGTCCTCCTTGTCGTTCTTTTTTCTTTCTTTTTTTTTCGTATATCGTATCTTTCACGTCTCTTTAGGACCGAAATATTCAGAGTGCTTTAAAAGGCAATACATATACGTATATGTATATATATAGATATATATATCTATGTGTAATAAATTATTCACATGTTGAATATTTCGTATTCTATTGTCACACGATTCTCGTTACGCACAATAAATTTTAATTGTGACTCGATAATCATTTAGCAACAAACTTACGCTAAATAAACACGAAAAATTTTAATATGTTTTGTCATTTGTGCAAAATGATTATTTTTTGGATAAGGGGAAATTTTTGTCCCATTTTGGCCTTTGTTTTCGATGGTGCTACTCATTTTATTATTACGTAGTAGTTGAAAGTGACGGCTCTAATTGCGAATGCATGACATCACTCTCTGTCAACATCAACTGTCCAATCAGAACAAACATTAATCCAATGGTGCACGTTTAAATGATTGTTTTTATACGATACCAAAAAAAATACCATATACCTACGCGTTATTTCAGTTTAGTTTCGTTTTCTTCTCATCGTTCGTGCATGACATCGATAATATCTTAAGTAATCATTTTTCTCCTGTCGATAACGTTGAAAAGTGTGTCTGTTTTTTTTCACCACTGGACAAACTTTGAATATAAAATATTTTTTCTACTCTCATTGATTTTTTATTAACGTGAAACAATTGGATTAGAATCATGAACGATAGTACTAATACTACAATGTCGACCAATGGTGGCAATAGTCCTTTTGATTCAGGTGACAATTCTTGGATGTTAACATCAACAGTATTAGTACTATTAATGACACCTGCACTGGCCTTTTTCTATGGTGGTATGGTTGATCGAAAGAATATTTTAAATCAACTATTTTTATCATTTATTTGTATGGGCATTGTAACTGTACAATGGGTTCTCATTGGTTTTTCATTTGCATTTGGTCCACCTGTAAGCGAAGGTTTTGGTTCATTCGGTTGGTCAGTATTACGTTTTGGTGAAGTAGAAAATATAAACTATAGTCCTACATATTCTCTATTGACATTTTGTATGTTTCAATGTACATTCGCAATTATTACACCAGCTCTCATTTCTGGTATGTAAAATAGTTCAATGATAATAAATCATTATTGTTAATTCACCTCAGGTTCTATTGTTGGTCGAATGAAAATGATTCCGTACATGATATTCATATTTATTTGGGCCACAGTCTGCTATGATCCAATGGCACATTGGGTTTGGGGTAGCAATGGATGGTTGAAAACTTTGGGAACACTCGATTTTGCTGGTGGAACTGTTGTTCATATTCTTTCGGGCGTCTCCGGTATTACAGCCTCGATCATTTTAGGAAAACGACACGATTATGATCCATACAGTACTTCTGCTCATAATCTTCCATTTACAATTTTGGGAACATGCCTTTTGTGGGTGGGTTGGAACGGATTCAATGGGGGTTCTGCTGGTTCTGCCAGGTACACTATAAAGAATACAAATAACAAATTAGAACAAAAACATTTTTCTTTTTTAGTGATTTGGCAGCTATAGCTGTAGTCAATACAAATACAGCCGCTGCTTCAGCATTGGTAACATGGGTAGTGATCGATGCTGTACGTGGTCACATTTCAATATCAGGCGCTTGTACGGGTTCTATTGTTGGTCTTGTAGCTATTACACCAGCTTGTGGTTATGTTCAACCTGGCTGGGCATTACTCATTGGCATTATTGGATCGATCATTGTCTATTGTATGTTGTTGCTCAAGCGATATATGCGATTCGATGATACACTAGATGTGGCTATTGTTCATGGTTGCGGTAAATTGTTTGTATCATGTTGTCTATTGTAAAATAAGTAAAATTATCTCCATAGGTGGTATATCTGGTGCTTTTATGACTGGCCTATTCGCTCAACAATGGGTTAACCCAAGTGGTGGTGCTAATGGTGCATTTTATGGACATCCTATTCAACTTTGGTATCAAATTGCAGGCATTCTTACTGCCATTGGTAAATGTGAAATTGAGCTGTATTATTCAAGTATCGTTGTGTATCGTTTTTAGGTTTCGCTGCTGCATGTACAGCCGGAATTCTGCTTCCATTACACTTTACCATCGGTATTAGATTAGCGCGTGAGGATGAACTTACAGGACTCGATCTAGCAGGTATGATCGGTTTAATATTTTTTTTTTCCAAGAAAATGTAATATATATATGTATAATTACAGCTCATGGTGAGAATTGGGAAGCGGCTGCAACGCGTGCTGCTGCCGATCTTGTCCAAGAAATGCGACAACAACAAGAACAAAGTGGAAACGGAATCGATTATGCACACGACAATGGAACTTTTGAACTGTCATATAAACCTTCCGATTCCAGTGTCAAACCGATCACAATAAAATATGCTGCTCTAGGTTCATTACCATGTATAATGCCTACTTTGAATTTTAAAGAGAATCGTAATCAACAAGAAACTGCTATTCAGGCAGGAAGAGACCGTAACGGTTCAACAGTGACAGATAATGAATTTCAAACAATGCAGTTTTGATGAACGCCAAGTGTGATACGAACTTTATGTTTTTTATTTTTATTTTTATTTTTATCAGACAATTAATAACTTATGCATTCGACCTATTATTTATTTTAAAGATATTTATTTGTATTATATACATCTATATACAAAAAAAATAAGAAAAAAATTGATTCATTTCGCACTTGTTAACTCAAAAGACAATGGAAGATAATACGAAGCGAAAGCAAAAAAAGAAAACAAAGTACAGGTAAATATTATTCATTCAAACACATTGTATAGAATAACAAAAATTTACTAGCAATCTATTATCTGTGAAGTAATGCGTTTATACTGTAATCTAGATGTTATTGTCATTTTTTTACTATATAATCAAACAATGTTTTGTATATATGTTTAACACTGTTTAGTCAATGTCATCGACTTCTAATTTAATTGATTTTTTTTCTTATTGGAACGAAAAGAGTGATTTCTGAAGTATAAATTTAGTACCATTTCAGGATAAATATAGAAAAGAAAAATCAAACGTCTCTAAAATAAGATTTCTAGAGGTTTGCAAAAGATTATATTTCTCATATATTGCTCGCTACATTGTTCAAATTTGAAGGCATCAAAAACTATTGAAACTGGTTTTTTTTGTAACAGTTTTAAATCAATTTTTGATTCTGGAATCAATATATTTGATCGATGCAATTTTTCAAAGAACTATCCGTTTAAAAGAATATGAGCTATTATCTTCAGAAACTGAACGAAAACAAGTATTCTGTTATCATTGAACAATTGATTACTACTTAACTTCAAATACATTATTGAAAAGAGTATTCTTTGTGTTACAAGAATCGTTATTTGATGATTCATCTGCTCGAGTAGAATAGATTTTGCACAAATTTTGTAACTCAGACATTACTCTTTGTAATAAGAATAAATATAATGGAATTAGAAGTGGATTAACAACGTTTGGCATTTTGCTTAGCGTATTATTTCGAAAAATGGAACTTGGTAGTTATTGGAATCGATTGAAACATGACTAATCAAAAAAAAATCAAGAGCAACGAGGTGGCTTTCGGAATCTTGCAAAAAGAGCAAATAGAATGGCAAGATCATCCGGTCGATTGCACATAATTCACAGAAAATTCTTTGGTGCGTTCAAATGGTATCTTTTGTTAAACGTAAAGCTCGTTTGTGCAATTACAAAAGGTTTGTGTTAACAAACTTGATTAACTCTGTTTATGAAGTTTAAAATATTGTTTCTTTTCTTAGCAATCCTCCAAAGAAGTATTCATCAAAATAAAGTAATCGAAAGCAAATATACTGAGTAAATTTGAGTGATGACAGTTTTCAACTTCGTCGGATGCTGCGTATGTAAGATGAGTCTCTTGTTTTTCAAATGACTGCTTCGTTATTTTTGCATCATGTAAACATTTTGTACGTCACTTCTGTATATTTTTGTCTTCTTGTTTTTCTTTTTGAATTTTGAAATTTTTCAACTATACACTCGATTGAAATTGGTAAGAACAGTAAAACATTCAAAATAAAAGGGCCACGACTATGAATGATAATAAAAAAAACCATATTTGTACAAAGATAATTCAGTTCATAGGGAGTATATACAGCTATATTTCTGTATGATGTGTAGTAGTTGGTATCGTCCAAAAATAAACAGTACCTAACAAACATAAATTTCATTAGGTACCTATGGTGCAGATCTGATTATAGATATATACCAATGTATGATTTTTCTAAAACTGATTTTGATGTTGATTTTATTCCGAAATAGATGAAACTTATAGGGTCATGAACATTAGACAACATTGTTTTTCGAATTGGATTGATATTATAGAAGATCGAATAGATTAATCTTATTTCTCCAATAAAAAAGAATAAAAGAAAATGACAAAAAAGCTGTTTCCTTGTATTTGTTTGAACTTAGACCTCAAAAACTTGTTTATATTATCAATAAAATATTTGTAAAAAATGATTTATTTGCGAAGTAATGTACAGAAGAACAATCAATCTTTCAAGATAGTTCAAAATGGATATAAAAATCGAAATTCAGAGTACGTGTGATGTAATGACAGAAGCTGTCGTTATTGTTTATTTTCTTTATTTTCTTAGATCAACCACCCTTCAATGGAAACGAATATATATTATATGTGTATGTTGAGGACAAATTTGGAATTCAGTCATATTTCGAATTTGTCCGGGCGAAATTGGAATTCTAATTTTGCTCGATCAAAATTAGGATTCCAAAATGGACCAAGATTTCCTCGCGCAGAATTAGAATTCGACTAGAATACAATTTATACAATCGAAATAAATAAAATCTAATTTGAATAGTTATTTTTATACAGCAATGTTTTTTTATTTTCTATAACATTTTAGAAGGCAAAGGACTCGCGTCTATTCACTCATCTTTGTACAACCGTCTCGCTTGGAATGACATTTTCTCGAACAAAAACTTCCACTTTTTTACATAAATATTGTTTTTTAGCGTACTTGCATTTATAGTCAAATGTGCAATCAATCGTTGAATTCAACTCAGACATTTGTTTTTGTTAGATTGTAACGCGTACATTGAGGATGCGGATATGGTTTGTATCTCTATGCATAGTTCTATTCCATCAACTCATGCCTAAGTGAATCCATGTCTCGATAAGAACTACTTATTTATTCATTTAAACAAAAATCTTACCGTATTCTTCGTGATAACAAACGAATTCATTTACTTGATGATAATATTCACTTATTTTCATGCATTTATATTCAACTATTTCGACATGACATTATATTTTAACAAACTTTTTTTATAAATCATCAAAGTATTTTCTTTACAAATAAATGTCGAACATTGTCATAGTACCAGTATCTCTCAAAGCAAACAATTTTTATCTAATGAAAATATCGTTCGATGAATTTTTAAAATCTTATTTGTTAAACTATGAATCTGAACACTTTGAAACATCTTCATTAGAAATACTACAGAGACTGTTTGGTAACATAATTTCGATCATATCATTCGCAAAAGATATTCTTGTAAAGATGATCAAACTATGTTACTGTAATATTAGTGTTGAAATTTTTCTAATATATATATGCTATTTGATTGATCAATAAGAAAAAAAACGCTTTCTACTTCATTCTCAACTTTAGTAAAGTATTAATATGAATTCAAATGAATACCCATGTAAATATTTTTTGCCTCAAAACGCGTCTGAAACGCGTTTCATTTGCGTGCGAAACGCTAAGAGTGAACGCGTTTGAACGCGTCCCCAGTGAAACAAACGAAGCGTTTAAACGCGATTTATTTTAGAAACTCGTGTGAATGCGCTTCTAGCTTGACTTGCGTTCAAACGCATTTTTAGCGAAAACGCGTCCCAGATGAAACATTTAATGCGTCTGGACGCGTTTCATAAAAAAACTAAAAATTTTGAAAAAAAATATGATAATCCATTTCAGATTCGAACTGAGTTGCCACCATCAATATTTTTTGATGGTCTTAGCCTTCCCTGGCAAATGGATTAGATTTTACCTTAAGCGACGACGATCAGATTTGAACAGATGAACCAGTGATTAGAAGTCGTTCATACATACCGCTGAGTTATACTAACTCGAAATCTTGTCTTATTCAAAATAAAATATATTTGAAAACGAATTTCATCGGTTAAATACTTTATTTTAACAAGATGTATTTTTTTCGAATTCAAGAGTCTTAACACGTAAGATGACTTTTCAGTTATTTTTTTAAATAAGTTTTTTATTTTTTTAATAAAATAACTTTTTTTTTTTTATCATCTACTACACATAAAAAATATTACGATCTTTTTTATTGCACTGGTAATATGATAAATAATTTTATCGAAAAATTTAATGAATAGATAATTATTGACAAGCAATTTAGTAGAAATATATGATGAAAAGTTACTAATAATATTATTTAAATAGTAGTATTTAACAATATTCTGAAAGGGCATTGCATAGCTGGAAACTATTACAATATTATCTAACTATTTTTCTTACAAACTTTAGAGAAATATGGACTGTTCACCCTATGTTTAATTGAATTTTGTCTATTTTAACGTCATCTCGACATTCTTTATTAGAAGTCTAATGAAGTTTAGATGAATAAAATACATGTAAGCTGATTATTTTGATTATGCAGTTAACTCTTCTAGAGCAGCAATTTTTGGGTAAAATCGCGTCCGATACACAAAAAATAAACACTTTCAAAGGCACTCGAAAATATGATTGCGTCCTAACGCGAGCGAAAAACATATTTAAGACACGTTTGAACGCAGTTCGTAAACAAAATTTTTTTAAACTCATTAAATTTTTTTCAGAAACGTGTCGAAACGCGGTTCATTTTTTCTGATTGCGTTTAAACGCCTTGTATAGAAAACCTGCGTCCAGACGCGTTTCAAAATTTTTTCTAACTGCGTCTCAACGCTTCTCATATTACACCACGTTTGAACGCGTTCAGTCAAACTCTTATTAAACACGTACAAACGCAATTTCAATATGAAACGCGTTGAGACGCGGTTCATAGTTTTTTTACAATTGCGTTTCAACACGTTGCATACAAAAACTGCGTTCAGACGCGTTTCAAAAGTTTTCTAACTGCGTCTCAACGCGCTTCATATTAAAAATGCATTTGAATGCGTTGTGAACCCGTTTTTAACTGCGTCTAGACGCGTTTTGTTGTGAAACCGCGTTTCAACGCACCGATCTTGCGTTTCGTGATTACATGGGTAGCACACGAAAAAGTAAGACATTAAGAAGAAAAAAAAGAGCAAAATAACTAACATAAATGGAGTATAACAAGATAAACGAGATAACTGTTCAGATATCACAAAACTCATAAAAAAAGATGCAATAGGATAACACATACTCTCATTTATTAAACAGAAATCAATATTTGCCAATTAATATGCAACAAAAAATGCATCTAGAAAAAGATTAATGGAGTGTGACAGTGCAAGCGTGCTGGATCTGTGATGGTAAGTACCTTTTCACTATCAAAC